TCATTTCATTTGAATACCCAACATCAAGATTCTCGGAATCATAATACTGCCAGAAACTGGCCAGAAGCCACGCGTGTCAATCCATCTTCACCTTGATGGACTTCAAGCACTCTACCCATGGGCCATTTGCCCACTGGTGATGCCTCGTTGTTGACCCACACTAAATCATTTTTTTTTATTTCGTTCACCGGAGAATGCCATTTTTGTCGTTGTTGCATTGTATGCAAATATTCATTCTTCCATTGACGCCAAAATTCACGTACTGTTTGTTGTACTCTTTTCCAGCGGTCAAGGCAACTAATTTTTACCTCGTCCAAATTTTCACTCGCGATTGCCATCGGATGTGAATTTAACAGGAAATGAGCTGGAGTTAAAATCGTGTTATCATTGGGGTCAGAGGACATTGGAATTAGTGGTCGTGAATTCACCGCTGCTTCTATTTGAGTTAAAACCGTTGATAACTCTTCGAATGTGAATTTTTTATCTCCCAACGCCTTCTTAAAATGGGTTTTTATTGTTTTTACGCCCGCCTCCACTAAGCCGTTGAAATGTGGCGCTCGTGGTGGCGAGAATTTCCAAGTAATGCCTTGGCTCGTAAATTCGTTAACAACTTCTTCGTTGAACTCTTCCCTTTCTTTTTGCGTTAATTCATGCAACAAACGATTTGCCGCAACGAAATTGGTACCGTTGTCACTGTTCATTGTTTTTACTTCACCTCTTCTCGCGATGAAACGTCGTAGAGCTGCTATAAATGCCTCAGCCGTCATATTGCTTACTACTTCTATGTGTATGGCCTTTGTGGCCATACAAACAAAAATGCATATGTAGGCTTTCGTTGTTTTAGCATTTCTCAAATTCGAACTTTTTACATGCACTTCGCCTGTAAAATCTACCATGGTGTTGGTGAATGGTTTGCTTACAACTGTTGTTCGTGTCGTGGGTAAATCACCCATCATTTGATGTGATACTTTTGGTCGGTATTTACGACATATGACACATTTTGTCGTTTGATTTTTTATCGTCGAATGACCGTTTATGATCCAATATTTCTTTCGCATTATTGATTCTACGAGTTTAGGTCCCGTATGAAAATTGTCGGCATGGACATAACGAATCAACAACTTGGCGATTTCGCTTTTTTTTGGGATTAGAATTGGATGCCGCATATCAAACGGCATGTCTTTGTTCTTAATTCGTCCGCCGACACGAAGCAACTCATTTTCATCCAAGAACACGTTCAATTTAAGCAATTCACTGTTTTTTTCAATTCGTTTGTTTTTTCGTAAATGGCTTAGCTCTTTTTTGTAATGTCCGTTTTGTGCGATACGAACAATTACCACTGTTGCCTTTTCGATCTCCTTTGCTGTAATAGGAGATCCCTTTTGTTCGACGTTTTGTTTACGCTGCGTGTATCCAGCGAAACGAAGCACATACACAATCACTCGTCGCATTCTTGTCCATGATGAAACGTTTGGCAGAATGTTATGTGTTTTGGTTTCACTTGTAGCGAGCAACGCATGCAGGTTTTTTTCGTTATCGGTTTCAAAAGTGATTTCTGATGGCATGAAATCGATGTTTTCTCGTAAAAATTGTGGACCATGCCACCACAGTCGATGATTCACTAGCTCGCTTGCGAAAATGCCTCTTGATCCACAATCTGCTGGATTCATTTCTCCTGGTACATGGCACCACGTGACGTTTTTCAATTTATGAATTTTTTCTAAGCGCGAAGACACAAATTTCTTGTATTTTTTTGGGCATGAATTAATCCATGCTAATACGATTTTTGAGTCACTCCATAAATAGACATCGATGTCATCCACTTCTAACGCTTCCTTTGCCATTTTTATTACTCTTGTCAACAATAATGCACCACATAATTCCAATTTCGGAATCGTTAACTTATTCTTTTTTGGTGCTACTCTTGTTTTTGCGACAAAAAACTCGACGTTGATAATATCGTTGTTTACACTTCGTACGTATATCGTTGCACAATACGCGTCACTACTGGCGTCACAAAACCCGTGTAATTGAATCTTCGCATTTGGGCCGCTGCCGATCCACCGTGGTACCGCGATGCTTTGAATTAATGGCAATTCTTTTTTTATTTTTTGCCACTGATCAATTGTATTTTCGGACATTTTGTCGTCCCACTCAACGCTTTCTTTCCATGCATTTTGCATCAAAATCCGGGCTTTGATGATCACTGGTGCTAAAAACCCAACTGGATCATACAACATCGCGATTTGAGAGAAAAGTTCACGTTTTGTCTTTGGTCGTTCGTTCATTGTTTTTATTTCGAAATTGAATTGGTCGGCCGTTGGGTTCCATTGAACTCCCAATGCTGACACCACGTTTTTTTCTATGCTTTCTCGTTTTTCGTTCGGTATTCCATTTAATATTTCACTCGCGTTACAAGCAAATTTTCGAAGGTTGAATTTTGACTCTTCAAATGTTTTTATTAACTGAGTGCACAAATTTTTTGCTTCTTCAATCGTATTTGCACCACCCGAAAAATTGTCGACGTAAAAACACCTTCTGATGGCTTCTGCTGCCATCGGTCGGTCCGTTTCGGCTAATTTTGCAATTTCTTTTAGCACTCTAATTGCCAAATACGGTGACGTTGCGACTCCAAAGGTTACAGTCGTCATTGCATACGTTTTTATTTTTTCATTTGGCTCTGCGCGCCACAATATCAACTGCAAATGATATTGCTCTGGTGGAATTTTTACTTGTTTGTACATTTTTTCTAAGTCAGCTAAAATTCCAAATTTAAATTTTCGCCAACGAAGAATAATTGTTAACATGTCAGGTTGATCCATTTTGCCTATGGCAACTTGCTCGTTTAGCGAAAATCCGTTTGACGATTTTTTCGATGCATTGTACACCGGTCGCAATTGTGTCGTTGAACTTTGTTTCAAAACTGCATGGTGAGGCACATAATATGCCTGCTCTGGCACATTTTCAATCAATTTCATATGACCGCTTGCAATTGCTTCGGTCATTGCCTCCACATACTGTTGCTTCACTTTTGGATGTTTTTCGAAACGTTTTTCTAATTGAAACAACGTCGCTAACGCTGCTTTTTTTGAGTCGCCGAACTTTGGCTCTTGTCCGTTTTTAAATGGAATTGCTGTAACAAAACGCCCGTCCGCTTCTCTCTTCGTTGTTTTCACAAATACATCTTCACAATACTGCTCTTCTGCAGTCATTCCGTCTTCATTTTCGTCTTCGCTGTCAATATTTTCAGCCGTAAAAAAGTTTTTTAATCGTTTTTCGATTTCCACATTAGAAATCAATGCGGTTATTTTCGTCGTTCGCTGTGTGTTGTCATTTTGCGGACCCATAATGAGCCATCCCAATTCCGTGTTCATAGCGATTGGTTCATCTTCGCGGCCTTTGATCAAGCCACTTTTAACGATTTTCGTGAATTCAGCAACACCCAACAATAAATCAATATTGCCTTCGTCATTTTCGGTGGGGTCAGCGTACAACAAATTCTGCAAATGCTCATATTTCCCCAGATTGTCTTTGAAACATGCGAGATTCGTTATTTTTTTCAGCACGATGACATCCGTTTGTAACGAATAACTATCAGAAAAATGCGGTTGCACTGTGATTGATGTGCTTTTCTTCGCTGTTTGTCCACAAACACCGACGCCTTCAACATCCGCTCGCACATTTTCACCGCGAGTGCCTAATTTTTGAAAGGCATTCTCCGTAATTAGTGCTCCTTGTGAGCATCCATCCACAACAGCTTTCAACATTATCTTCTCCCCATTTTTTGCTAATACATTGACAAACGCAACTGGCAACAAATTATTTTCATTTTTTGTTGCTACTAACACTTGAATCGGATCGTTGTTTACTGTTTCATTCAATGTCGTCGTCGTAATCATTGAAACAGCTGCTGGTTGACTTGCATTTTCTTTCTTTGATTCAAAATGCAATAGCGTATTATGTTTCTTTGAACAAATTTTACACGTTGGGTATTTGGTTTTACATTCACCAGAATTATGAATTTGCAAACATACAACGCAAGCCTTTTCTTTCTTGGCCCACTCGCTTCTTTCTTTCACGTTCAATCTTGAAAACGTGTTGCATCTATAAATCGAATGAGGTTTTCCACAATAAACACATTTTATTGAGTTGTCGTCGCTTTTTGTTGTCGTTTTTTCGTAGTTTTTGTTGTTTGTTTGTCCGCTACTTTCTGCCGAAGATAGCGCCATGAATCGATGTTCCACATAATTCAAAAACGAAGAAAGAGTTTGTAACTCACGCACGTCTTCCAATTTCGACTCATAGTCAATTACAGTTGATTTATGCAGTTTTTTCATTAACATGTGAATGATTAATGGATCCCACTCATCAATTTTTACTCCATAATTTTTAATCGCCATCAAGCATTCGTTTGCCGTATCAAATAAATTTTTCAGTCCGTTGCTCGTTTCGATCTTTTGAGGCGGAATATCCAAAATTTTTTCAATCAAATTACCGACGTTTTTTCTTTTATTGCC